ATTGGTCACAACGAGTCATAATCGGTCACAATTAACACAGAATCAGTCACAATAAACACATTTGATCACAAATGGTCGCCACAAACAAATCCGCTTACACCTACAATGCACCACCATTACCATCTTCACCATCTTCAACTCCCGTTTTCTCCATATTTGCATCATATTTGGCCTTCTTTTGATGATATTATCACCTATTGGAGGGCTAAGAAACATCACACTACTAGCGAAAGATTATCACTTCTACTCTTAAGCATCTCTCCAGATTGATGAGAAAGCAAATTTAAAAAAAAAAAAAAAAAAACAAATAAGACAACAAGAATACATTCCCTAATAATGTCCTGGGAAGTTAGTGAGTCCTGCCGATAGGAATTAGACCAGCATCTACAACAATCAACTTATATGTCATGGAAACAACCGAAGAGAAATAAATTGCTTATGTTATATACTTTTATTTTGATTATAAACATAACTATATCAAACATTGCCCCCCTTCATTTCCCTGCTGCATTTTATTATTGCTTTTGGCTGCACATAGTCTGTTCCTAAGTGTAGGATAGGATCATCCACGTCTTTTATCATAATTATCTAAATAATTATCAAGCAAGAATTTATCTTAAGGTAAGGAGAGTGGGAGATGAGATGGGAGGGGAGGGGGGCAGCTTGTATAACAACTCCCAAAAAACAAAAAAATCCAACAAAAACAAGGAAATTTCACAGCACAATGAGAAGGGAGAAATCTGAATTGGAAAAATTACTATAAGTTTCAGTCTGGACAAAAAATTCACATCATCTTGCCATCAAACAAACAAATCGATCAAATTTTTCTTCGTTAAAAATAATGAAAATATTCCAATCTACAAAAATGATGCCATCACCCCATCAAAATTAGGTGATTAAGAAATTTTTACAAAAATCGGGCGTTAAAAGCTAAAACAATTTCTCTCCCTATTTGCAAAACAGAAAAGGGAATGGAATCATAGTGGAACCATTTGAATAATTCACTGTCATGCTCCATTGCAACAACTCTGATTGGGGCCAAAGCTTCACATTCCAATCATAATGAGTTGCTGTATTAGCACCACCACCAGCTCAGCCACTCCAAATTCTCCCATTTTCAAATTCAAATGTAACAGAAAATGCTCCAATAAATCTCCACGAACTGCAAGCCATTGTTAGAAGAAGAAACAGTTAAAGAAGCATGTCGAAGTCAACGTAGAAGTTCAAGAACCGATCATTTTTCGACGAAGTAAAGCAGGATAGATAAGTGAAAAGGCTTGAGTCATCACTAGTTCGAGTTGAGTCCGGAAGGGAAGGTCCGATAGCTGTAGTTTTCGTTGTTGCTTCTACAAGCAGTGACGTCTCAATCATCTTCGCCGCGGCCAGTATCTTGTTTCCTTCGACGGTCGGTGACACTTTTGCCGCACCGAAAAGGGAGATGGTTAGATGGGTGGTGGTAGAGAGGGCGATAATGAAAGAGAGAGGATAGAGAGAAAGAAGAAGTGGGAAAATATTTAGGGTTTGGATTTGGGAATGAAATGGGGTGCAATGTGTGGTGGATACGAAGATTATATTTAATTAGATTTTTATTAATTATACTTATTAAAATTTAATTACCACCTGATTTTTGAAATAAAAATTAATCACCCTTATTTTTGAAAATTAGTCTTTAAATGTAGGTTTTTAGATAATTTTCCCTTATTTGAAACTTCTAAATAGGGTTTTCACGAGCCCAACTAGAAATTCACAAATTAATCTAGTCTGTTGCATTTGTGTTAAGAGTGAATCCCATATCAAATAAAATTGGTGGGGATTAAAATTACATTTTCAGTGGATTGTGATAAAAACATTTTGAAATATATGGTTGAAAAGTTGTGTGACCCATGAAATATATGATTAATATTGATTGTTTGACTTTGACTTAAATTAAAATCTGATTTTAATCCGAAACAAACATGGCCTATGTTGATTTATCTAATGTCCTTACCAACCAACTATCAATCTCATTATTCACTCTACAAGCACGACAAGGCNTTGACTTTAATTAAAATCAGATTTTTAATTTGGACCAAACATGGCCCCTGTTTGGTTCATACTCAAGTCAAAATCAACAATTAATTTTAACCATACGTTTCATGTGGCTCATAACTTTTCAACCACTCGTTTCATCAACTTTTATCAAAATCTACTAAAAATCTAATTTTAATTTGGTTAAAAAAATAAATAGCACCTAAAGATTTGAGTTATTTCTCCTAATAAGATTGAAGTTTCAAAATTGAACTCCAAACTCTAATAACCTACAATTATCTACATAAAATAGTGAGTGTAGACGTCTCGTGACTCTAAACATGTTATTAATATACCACTTGAATTAAGATGATGTAGGGATAGTAACACCGAGACTAACTTGAGTAAGCTTGAAAAGGATACGAGAAACTTGAATTATTAAAGAAAGAGCCAAGTATGTTACGTTTGTTGAG